GCATACTTACTTTCAGTTCATTCGTAAGCTGCTGTATTTTTCGTTTCATTTCATCATATTCACCATACATTTTCTTTCTTACTTTTTCCAGTGTTGCTCTCACCTGGTGTTAGAAAAATCAAATGCCTTTATCAAGCTTATTGATGATAGTGTTTATACTAGGACATGATTGGTTTTTTTCTATGTCCTTCATTGTTACTTTCAGTAATTTCCATTATTAATCTACCTTTTCATCAACAGCAATTTACTCTTAAGAACAAGACAAAAACTTAAGCCTCAAGACTCGTCTACATAGGGATGATACAAATAAACGTATCTGAGTAATTCTAAACTTCTCTATACACACTTAAACACTTGTAAATTAATAATTTAAATAATGGATTTCAATTAAATTATCCGTAACTCATTCTAACCTGATTACTAAAGGAATTAAAATTAATTGAGCATATAATGTTTTCTTTCTTAAAAAAAAGCATCCACACATGGATTTAATGCACCTTCATACTTTTTAAAGTGGTTAATTAGTTTTCCCTGAGTATCCTTTGAAGATAAACCCTTTAATTTCAGACTTTTAGGCTTTTATCTAGCTAAACAATATATGAGCATAAATTTACCAATGCAATTTCAAATCTAAATAATGGAGTACTCGATTTTATTTAAGAGCTATGGATGTAAATTATACCTTGCCTTTCTAAAAAAAGAAAAGGAAGGAAAAAAAAAAAAAAGCATGCTGGAAGCCAGCTTGGATTTACATGCCATTGCAGTCATGCATAGAACCAATCTTCTCAAGAGCCCACACTGTAAACACTAGTTAAATGTTTGCCTACAGTCTGCCTTCCAGCTACGTAATTCAAACTCCTCTTTTTTTTTTTTTTCCCTCACCTCTATCAAACACAGACGGATTGCAGATAATCTAGGGTAGTGAGCGTACCTCATCCCTGCACAGGTTTGGCGAAGGAGCGATGGGAAAACATTAATAGGGCCTTATACAAGAGGGGATATTTCTAGCAGCTCCGCAGAATACCCACTCTCTCCCAGAAAGAGGGACGTTGGCCACCAAATCTATGCAAGGAGTAGGCACAAGCTTACCCTGAACTATGTGCTCCCTTTAGGATGAGAAACACAGAAGGAAGCTGACACCTTCACTTCACCTCAGGAAAGCACCCCTCACCCTGTCCCTACCCACACATAGGCACATGCACGCACACGCCCCCTCTTGCAAGGTGCAAATTTGACTCACAGACAGAGGAAAGCGTCAGCAGTTCTGATGTGGCCCATCATTTTTGGTCTATTTAAGTCAGCACATACGTGGCGCAAGCTGAGGACTCTTGTTTAAGACTACTTTTAAAGGTGAAACTTATCTGACAGACAAAAGTTCACAAATTAGCATAGCTGAATACAGCTTCCAGAAGATGGAAGAGCAAGGGCCAGTGCATCTCTTCCCATGTCTTTCCCACTTTTTCCTGAAAGGATCAGTACCCTTAAACACACATGCAAGACATGCTGTTCACCTGGTTCGACATGTCCCTCCATGCCACAAGCCAGCTGTGAACAGAAAAGGGCAGGGAGATGGTCCCGGGCCAAGCAATCTGCGCCAGGTACCAGAAGCAGTGCAGCCCAGGGAGCTGCCCCTGCCACAGGCCAATTCGCCCATCCCCGGACACCACCCCAGCAGGGTAGATTAGCAGGAAACCAGCACCCAGGCAGCAAACCAGCGGCTGAGGCAGCTTGCGTGCCTCGCCTGCGCTGCAGCAGTGACATACCCTAACTGGGAGTGCAGGAACTTCAGAGTGGCGAATGCTGGGAGCTAACAAACTGTGAGTAAGAAAGGACAGAAGCAAGTGCTGATAGCTAGAGACCAGGCAGACATTAGGAGCACACGTAATTACAGTCTCTTACACTGCTGGCTCGAGTCAGCGTTCCTCCCTTTTACATCAACTCACCTTGCACTTAAATCAGTGTAACAGGACAACCATTGACCAATAGCTTCCTGGGGGGGTGAAGGTGGATGGAAAGAGCCGGTCAAATTATTTGCCCTGGGCTAATTAGGGGGTTATTGCCAAAGCCCGAGAGCCAAGGACTGACAGGCAAAGAGATGCTGAGTTTTAAGCACAGAAACCAGCAGCATCAGAAATGTCTTTTTTTTTTTTTTTTCTTTCAGGAGAGCTTCTGCCAATTATGATAAATGAGCATGCACAGAGAAAGTAGTACAAAGTCATCCTTATTAGGCTGACTATTTTAAGGCTGCCCCAAAATATACCCAAGGGATTTTACCATGTCACCTAGTTTAGGAGCCTTTTCAAAACTGGGGGGTTTGGGGATGGGGGAAGCAGAGGAAGAAAGAAGAGAGTTTATCCTTTCAGGTGTCTGCTTACAGTTTCTTCTGTACCACATTCCAAGTTCTGAAGGCTTCAGGACAGGAACCCCAAGATCTGTTTGGCAGTTTGCTTGCCCAGCTGTAGCCCAGTCAGCCAGCATAAACAAGTATCACTTGGCACAGAGGCCTTGAGTCTGGACCACACAGTTCCCAGGCATATAGCGTGCTTTTTTCCCAGCCTGAATAGTAGCAAGGCAAGCCTTTAGCTTCTGAGTAGGTTCCCAATTCAAATTCAGGTGTTGGGCTAGACAGCAGTCATCCCATACACATTCACAGATCTACATGGATATATGGAAAGGATATTTGACAAATTTTGAAGCTGCATAACTCACTTCTTTAATGTAATTCATCTCTTCTTTCAGCTGATCAGCTGACCAGCCATAAACCACCATTTCTCTCTTATGGTTGTTGTCAGTTCGGTGCACAACGCCATACACCATCCCATGAGAGAGCTTCCCTGGAGACATGCCATTTGGTACATGGTAGAGCTCCTTAAAAGTAAAAAAAAAAAAAAAAAAAAAAAAAAAAAAAAAGAGTTATTGTTAAATCAGTACTAGAATAAAAAAAAAAAACAAACAAAAATACAGTAACATAGGGCCAGGAGGTTGTTGTCAGTTCGGTGCACAACGCCATACACCATCCCATGAGAGAGCTTCCCTGGAGACATGCCATTTGGTACATGGTAGAGCTCCTTAAAAGTAAAAAAAAAAAAAAAAAAAAAAAAAAAAAAAAAGAGTTATTGTTAAATCAGTACTAGAATAAAAAAAAAAAACAAACAAAAATACAGTAACATAGGGCCAGGAGAGACAGCCAACTATCGTTAAAGCACGACAGTACCTGAGAACACTAGTTCCCAAATATTTTAGGGCCAAATTGTCAAGCTTCATGTTTTGGGGAAGATCAATGACCAGTTTATAATTGATAGAGATGACAGAGATGTCTAGCTTCCACTGGCTTCAATGGAAGTGATATAGGTACAGCTAGAGACAACAGATTGGATTTGTGCAAGGAGAGGTAGAGACATGCAAGAGAAAAAGTTATCCTGGCTTATTTTCATTCACCAACATGTGCTATTTTTCTGCATTCCTCCAGAGTATTGTCAGCTCTCACAGTTCCCTTTAAACTCTTGCAACCACAGAATTGCCCCTTACTCCCCAAACTCCCTGCTGCAGGAAACACAAAAATTCACAAGTTTAATCAAAAATTTTAGAAAGTTCTCAGAAGAAACTGAAATTAAAACATTTTAGGCAAGGTTCCTTACACAGTGCTCAGAAAAAATCTGTTTATCTTGGAGATAAACAAAGTAGAATTTCAGTTTGCATTTAAAGCTGAGGACCTCCAAAGCAATCAAACATTCATTTCAGGGCTGCATTTCTCATAGAAGTTGTAGAACTGACATTGTAAGAGCCAAAGCAAAGCTGTGAAACAGCATTCATGTGGGTCATCCAATGTTGTTAACTATTGTAGGAGGATAAAACTTCGAAATTGGTAAACCGTACTTGTAATAATTGTATGTCTTACTTTAAGGCACTCTTTGCAACAGATGACTCTTATTCACCTCATCAATACACTTAGTAAGAAAAATATTCATGCACACAGTAGATATCATTTCCCTTAGCATGTAAATAAATATCTGCAAGGTCAGATGTAGCCACCTGACCTGACTACTCACCTGGGCTTCCTTCTAATCAACCCAGAGAAACATCCTTCTGTAGCAATCATCTGAAATGAGTCAGTCTCCAGAAGTACTAACTTCTCTTCTTGATTACAAAGAATTTAACAACTAGCTTAGATGAAGACATCCACATTATGACTTTTTAAAAAGAAGGAAAAAAAATATTCTTACCTAACTTCAAATATTTGCAAACTAGGAACCCAAAATTAGTGATTACTTCCAAATAGAAAGTTAGAAAGACACAATCTTGGAAACACAGCTGTTACTGCTTAGCTTTGTACGTTGTCTTTGAAAGCCCAGTGCTGGGAACAAATCAGTTATAGGTAATTTTACTGAACTTTCTTTCTCACACTAGATATACCAGGATACAGGTAAATCTGAGAATAGTTACTACACTGACCTTAGAATATGTTTAGTTTTGTTTTGTTTTTCAGTAATGACACTGTATGAAAACCAACAAACTTTGAGATTCTTTACTAAATTAAGAGTCTAAGCAGTGTCTAAATACCCTCTTCGACACCAAACAGAGGCTGGAAGAGATGAAACTCAGCATCTTATACCCATCTGCAGCTGCACCCTAGAGAGTCTCCATGCCTTACCATGACAGATGGTGATGATAGCATCTGCAGCCTAAAGCAGTAGCACTTGCAGTTTTTAGCAGCCAAACTAACTATGGTGGCAAAGTAAGAATAAATACTTCTTTGGGTAAGGGAAAAACGAACAGGAAAATCTACTTGCATTAAGAAGAATGGGTAAAGATAGACATTTGTTTTATATTGTGTCCCTCCTGCGTGGCACTGACAGATCTTCTCAACATTGTAAATCCTACACATTTTCCTTTACTGTATCATTAATAGCTTAACCATTTTGCTGAAGCTCTGGGTCTGTGTGTGCAGGGCTGGGAGGGGAACAATCAGGGAGCAGACACCTGATAAAGAACATTGCAGGCAAAGAACGACAAAGCTATAAGCAACCGTTTAAAAAGAAAGCCTTGAAACCACTTAATGGAAAAAAATTGGGCAACCAGCCCTACCTATCCATGACACCATTTTACACTTTGAAAACATTATATGCAAAGCTTCATATCCTGATAATCAGAAGTTTCATAATTATGTATTATTCAGGTTTTTGTTTTGCCATTGGATATGTACAAACAAAAACACCACACCTGATTTTTTGAGAGTAGAGAAAATACAGAAACTAGATGGGGACATAACTCAAAAATTTTTTTGTGTTTGTTTGCTTCTAGGGTTGTACAGTTTCTCTGATAGTTTCATCACAGCCCCTCCCCTGCATCTGGATAAAGGGATTACATACAAGTTTCCATCTTCCTGATAACCAAATGAATAATCTGGTAACCAAATGAATAATCACTTTTATTGTTTAGAGGTTACTAAGGTGCCAGACACTGAATTAATAAATCCATACCTTTTACCCATGATCATTCATTTTTTCTGAGGTGAACAGCTGAATAATAGCAACTACCAAGATCCTTTGTGCCTCTGAAACATTAGCAGAATTGTTTAAAGTGATGTTTGCAGAGTTCTGTATGAAAATTGTGACCAAGTTCCTTATTTTTAGAATATTATAAACACATTCCTAAAGAATGCTTTGAAGGATTTTTTTTTTTTTCCCCTCTAAGAAAGACCTACAAATTCAGACGATGGGTTTGCAGCTGGAGAATCACCCATGGCACGTACATATTTCACAAACAGACTTAAATTTACATCATAATGGGCAGTACATGCAGGATTAAATATGCACAAAGCCAGATTGGTTACATGTCTCTTGCAACAATGCTAAACTTGCTTGTTGTCTGTATTTGCACAAGCCTCCCAAGATCCCTTTGTTACTTCTCTTTCAGAAGGTTAAAAGAATCTCCATCATCTGTTGAGTGTTCCAGTTCTACAATGTACTTAAAATACAGGATATTGCTTTTATCCTCTCCTTATTCCTCCTTTGTATCACAATCCCCAGGCAAGCACCTGGTAACATTTCAGTACAGTTCTTGCTTGATTTAAAGCTGTGTGAACCAACAACTATACAAATAACTGCTCTCATATTTCTTTAGTCTTTTTCTTTGCTGTTCTATTCCAGCTATGCTTACCTTCTACTCCTCCTTTTCTCTGGTTGGTAACTCAGTGAATTTCCACTCAATGACCACTTGTTTCAGGGTTCAGCATATACCCTGACAAAAAAAGGGCTAACCTGATGCCATCACCTCTTAGAGGAAGGGTTACAATCAGAAAACTTTGCTCAATACAGGGTTGAGAGGTGGATGGGTTGCTTTGCTTGTTGACTAGGTTAATACACCTTTGCCTCTAAAGGAGGCCTTGCTGAATAGCTCAGTTCTCAAACTGCTCCACAGAACTGCATCACTAAGTGTGCATGGAGTATACTTTCTGCCAATTCGTCTCCTCTCTCAAGCTACTTCCGCCTACCTTTGTTTATTTTTCTCCCTTCAGTGTTTTTTCCTTTTCTGCCTTGTCCGCTGTCATGTCCTCTCTCTCTCTCTCACATTTCCTCTTCCACAAATCCTGGATTTTCCACGTCCCCAAAGACTACAGAATGTTTTTTAAGTCAAATACTTTTCATTGTTTTCCTCTATGTCCCATACATGCCCACTCTCAGAACTAAGATATTTTTCTGAGAAGGTCCTCACCTGTCTCCACGCTGATCTGCAGTGAGGCATCTCTGTGATGGTAACAGGATAAACAAACACATGCAAGCATTTAAGGGCAAGTAAATACTGTAAAGCTAACCAGAAAAGTGCTTGAAGATGGAAGGTTTTGTTAGATTAGTTAACTACTGCTGTTTAAGGTCAAAATATCAGCCAGCTCCAGAGTACAGGGAAGTTCTCACTCCCCACCTGCCTATGCACTCACTGCACTGGAACAAGCGCAGTTGTTCCCCCAAATTGTGCTCAAAATCCCTTCTGATGTGAGCTGCTGATCTGAAAAGGCAGGCTTAGCTTAAGCAGTTTGTGAATATTTCTTTGTACCTATAGTCATGTATGTTATATGATAGTCCAAGGTAACAGCAAGAACACATCACGTTGATACACGTGAATACTATAGCAGCTTCCAGGAACATGCTTTGTCTACGTTGCAGCAACAGTCATGTTGCACTTGGTGTGATCACACAGCACGTACCAAAGAAATGCAGACTGTATTTACTTAATGAATAAATATTTAAAACAGAAGCCTACACCCCAAGGTTGCAAAAGTCTTGATAATTGCCGTGCATCCTGTTTATGTCTCTGTCCAAGGAAGTAGCACAAGTAGCACGAAACAGGTGAAGCAAAGACACTATAAAAACAAACCCTAAAGAAGAGTTGTTAGCTGCTTTTTGTATTGCCCATGGTTTTATTGGCATTATGTAATTAACACTGAAGGATGATTTGCCTCGTAATCTATCTCCATCAGGTTTTGAAATTAAAGTCAGATACCCCCATACTTCATACTTTCTCCCTGCCCCAAAATTGGAAGCAGGTACCTTATTTTGAGGAAAAGGGACATCTAATGTGATGACAAGCACAATTCTGGGCTTAGTACTCGTACAGCCTTAAAATTTTGCTAAATCATGATCTTCTGGTTACCTACACCATCTAAAAACTCTTCTTTTAACCAGAACTATAGCAGTTAAGCAAGGCTTTATCTGTTTCTCAACTGCCACATTCCAGAGGTTTCTGAAATATCCAGTTATCTTTTGTTTGTTCACTAGTTATACAAGGAACAAGAACATTCACATTGTTACTCAGGTTACATATTTTCTGTTCAGCAGAATGACAAATTTGTAATATTGAGCTCACCAAGGAAAGTTACTGTGCTCTGACAAAAGGTAGCTATGTTTTAATGGGTTTTTTTCATATCCTTCTACAGCCCATGAAACTCATGTTGCATTTACAGATGTTTCATATATTATTCATATAGTATTAAAATAGGGAAAATATGCCAAAACATAGACATGAGTGTTCTTAAATTCATGATGCTAAATAAGAAGCATCATTTAACAGATTCCAACTTTTAAGCTCCTTGAAATGCAGAATTTAAGTGCCTATCTCAAAAAGTAGAAGTGGCAAGCATTATACAAAGTCATATCTAATCAATGAAATCCGTACACAGAATACCAACATTTATACACTAAGAAAATAAGATGCAACAAATACAGCAGTAACCACAGGAGTCAGTGGAATTTTCTGTGGTGTTCATGTAGTGCTGTTTTTAATGAAGGTGTCACTTAATTAGTACACATCAAAACTCAAGCAATCAGTGCTGGAGAGGCTGAGAAACAGTACCATCAGCCACCTGTAGCAGGTGAACCACATTTGTTATGACACAACTTCTTCTGCGCTGATGGGAGTGGGCTGGCAGCAGCAGATCAGCAGAGAAAGTAGGCACTGTCCTAGATTCAGTGTGCACAACAGCCCCACGTTCATCGCACTCATATTCTTTGATCCAGGCCTGACGTAAGTTTCTGCTTGATTCTCTCCATCACATACAGGAGCAAATTCCCCTTCTGGCTTCTTTAAACCCTATTTTTTTGCTGGGGAAAAAAATGTCGCTGTGCTTCTGTATTCCTGCTTAGGAAGCAAAAACAGTTTCACCTCTTGGCTGGATGCTTTAAAAACATAAGAAAATTAAAGAGTTTGAGGATATATACAGCCAAAGTACCAATTAGAGTTTAAGACTAAACACTGCTCAAACTCTGTTGAAAGCCATAAAGACAGGAAAGCGACACAAATTTCTAGTGTGTTATCTCATTTTCATTCTCTTGTCCATGTGACCAAATGAAAAAGAAAAAAATCTGTCTATACGTATCTCCGTATTCTGCCCTGAAATGCCTAGCTGAGCTTCCAATGACACTTCCAAATTTAGCCGTGACAATGAAGAAAGGGACTGATGGATAAAAATAAGCCCAATCCCAAACAGGGACAATACAATTGTCTGGTAGCCCTTTATTATGCAAGACAAGGCAGGCTTCAGGACATGCAGATTTTGCATACAATCTGATGAGCACAATATTCCTTTGTACTTCATGGTGAAGTAAACAGCCTCACACTACTGTCATCCATTATCTGTCATTAACAGAAATAACAGAACAAAATCAGGATAGTTTCAGATTCTCTCTACCTGAAGTGCTAACAATTCAGAGATATTTAGCAAGTAGGCTTTTAAAAAGCAAACCAACCAACCAACCAACAAGCCTCTACTTGTGACTTCAGTTCCCATAGGCTTCTTTCAAGGTATCATAGCCTAAATATGAATATAAAAATCCAGCCTGACACACTGGAGCACAAGTTAACTCCCCCTTCAGTTTTTGAGATCAACTCTGTGCACCATCTGTCACTTTCACAAAAGACAGGGAGAGGCCATCCCAGTACAGTAATGCCTGCAGTAATTTTGTTGCAACAAAACTGCCCAGCTCCATCACTTTGTTTTAATCTCTTACACTGGTTCGTTTTTATTTCATGGATGTATAGCAATAAAAAAGTCGATCTGGAAACTTAATGCACTCATACAGATTTAACGAAATACAGCATACATTTTCTGCTCAACTTGGACTACAGTGAAGAAGGCTAAGCTAACAGCTACTAACACAACCAATAAAGAATCAGTTCTGATCTAACATCAGGCTCCAAACCAAGTTATTGGGAGGATCAGCACTAGCAAGGGCTTCTGTGCAGTTCACTAGCTGATTTCACAACTGAAACATCTCTTAACGGTACTGAGCCCCAGAAAGATACAGAAAAATAACCAACAGTCAGTAAGCCATCACTACATCACATCAGGGCAGCTCAAAATCATCTCCTTCTGATGAAAGATTTGAAAGAGGAGATTACAACCAAATGTCACACCATGGTATATTTATAGTTTTCTGGCACTGACACAGCCAGGTCTCTGCTCTCCTCCCTCATCAGCAGCGCGCAGAGGCAGGGAAGAGTCCGTCTCTCTCCAGCACTTGTCCTGCCCAAACAGGAGAGCGCCTGGCAGCCAGGCTCGGGCTGCCTGATCTGCCTGAGCACTCCAGCAAAAAACGCGCAATCCCACAGGTTACCCCTGCAGTTCATTTCCGTAAATCACACTAATATATTTTAAATACCAAAAACATTTTCCATGTTCCCATTTTCTTAATACTCAGCGTTTAAAGACAGCATAGAACTCTAGATTCCAACAAGAGACTTGCTGTTAAATTTGATTCTTGGTGAAGCTGTTATTTTTTGACCTTAAATTGTAAAGTGCAAGGCAGAAAACTGAGCAGTTCCCTAATTTCTCTCTATTACCTCTATTTCCAAGAAGGGGGCACAGTTCTCATAGGATTGTGTGAGGATTATCTAACATTTGTAAAACCTGTTATTCTCAAAGTGCTTTAAGTAATTTCATTAACATTGAGTCAGTTGAATATGGGTGGATCAGCAGAGATATCCGATCACTGCTTTTAGGAGATGCTTTTTTTTTTTTTTTAAATTAAAGAAAGCATGACTAGTCAAGAGTCCTGTGTGCACTGTAAGTTACTGTGTAACTAATTCAAATACATAAGGCAATATGCTACATAGACCATAAAAATCTATAGGTAATACATTACTGTCTTGTTTTAGAGACATGAGGAAAAACCAGTTCATGATCAGTGATTTTTTTTGTAGCTGCTTCTGTATACTATGACTATACAATCTGTAGGGCTATTTTTTTAATTACACAAAAACCATAAAACACAAGTAGATGGCACAGTTACTCTGTGTTTTTTAATTGCTATGAAATTGACTAATTAGATCCCACCTGGCTCTGAAGGCTGTATGTACGCTTTCTAAAAGTCTTTAAATTGTGTAGAAGTACTGAACTTCAGAAAAACTGCTCAGAACATAAAATAATTAAATTGCATACCATTTTTTTGGTCTCAGCTAAAACGGACCTATCTTTTAAAAATCACTGTGCAATATACTGGAATACAAGATGAGCCCAATAATGTATTTATTACCTTTCATATCCTCTCCTTAACGTTCTCTGATACAAAACCCACTTGCCTTCACTTGTATTGTGGGGGAAATAGAGCTCTCATTAAATAAAAGGTCCCACAGAGAAAAAAATTGGTCACATAAGAAAGTCACTACAAATTATCCAAGCCCTAATCATTCACACTTGTTTCTTATTATTACACTTTATTGGGCTGAGTAGTGAGTAAGCCAGGAGTCAATATCTATCCTCCTCAAAAACAAACTTACATTACTCTTAGGGCAATGGGCCCATATGCTTAGGCCAGTCTGGCGGTTTCTGCAATCAGATACAAACTGACAGAGAATGACAGAGTAAGTGGTGGGGGAAGCTACTCTTAAGTGCTACAACTAAACACCCCTGTACAAAATTAATTATTACTATTTACTATATACTCCTGGTTTATACAGCATTTAACTTTGATTATTAAAACTTACGTTTTTCTTTCTTTCAGGTTCCTTTGCTCCCTGTTCAGGCTGTGAGCCTTCATCAGGTGGTACTGTTAAGCGTAACCTACAGACATTCATCTGAAAGAAAAACAAAGGTATGCTTTTAGATTTAAGTGTTACAAAAAATCATTTTAATAACTTGCTTTACAGAATGAACTGTACTAACATTCAAGTTTTAATTTACTATTTTCTACCTTCTGCCACATAGCTAACAAAAGATTATTTTTTAAAGGTTGGAGGGTTTTTTTCGCTAGCAAGAAATACTTCAAGGGCATCCCCATAATTACAGACCTGAAATAGCAAAAATCCATTTCAAGCAACAACATGTTCTTATGTACTCATAAATGACATTGAGAGCTGAGATAACAGAACAATGAACATAATTTTCTAGTTTCTCAGCTTTGTTTGCAGATTTGGCATACTTTTAATCATCAAAAGGGATTATTTAGAAACACAAAGTGTATTCTGGACTGAATGCCTCTTTTCTGTTCAGTATATATCCAAGTATTTGATCCAAGGATACCTCAGTACTGCAATTCCACTGAATGTGAATAGGAATATTATTGAAATCTGATACATACAAGTTGCTTGTAAAAACTAATCTTCAAAACGCTTCAGAGAAAATTTAAGAGGTATTGTTTCCTATCTGATTTCAGAAAAGCCATTCTTTTGCTGAGGAAACAGCCCAATAGGGTTGACACCCTTCTATCCTCAACTGCGGTTTGCCTAGCTTTTGGCTGAGAGATTTTTACTGCAATGATATTTTTAAAGCAAAGCATTTCATACAAGAAACATGGTTCAAACTTTCAGTCTTAGTCCTATTCATGAGACATATTTGTGGAAAACAACTAAAGAGAGCATAGCAAATGTTAAAATGAGAAATTTGTCTGTCCAAATCTGAAGCTGTACAATGCCCTCCCATGAAATGCCAGCTGTCTGTTGACAATAAACAGGGCTCTTAAAGCTTTTCCTCAAAATGTCTAAAATATCTCTTTCATGATTACTGTGGGCCATCACCACTGTTTTTCTATATATAGCCCAGCATCTCATCTGATCTAGCTCTCTGTAGTTTCTCCTAACTACTTACCTCCAGTCATGCTGAATGTATACCTTCTCTCTGAAATACACCTTTCCATTGCACTTGCCCAAGGTCACAGCTCATGTCTTGGTCATTACAGCACTTCCTTTTGCCTTGAAAATGGCAATGACGTTATCCTCACAGGCATTCAGAGCACAGCAGCAAAGTCCTTTTCACAGACCCCAAATTTTACCATTTTATAATTCATTTCATCCAACTGTCTCTCATATCAATTAAGCTAACTTTACTTCACTTTCAAGGCTCTTTACAACACAACCTCCTCAGAGCACCACTATTCAGCATCATGACAAGGATTCCCGTTTTCCCTGCTTCCAAACAATGGACCTTTTTCAACTTTTCAAACAAGCTTTAACTTCTTCTCCTTCCCAAGCAAAAATTGGAAGGCCTATCTGCAAGCATCTGCAGCAACTTCACTATTTTTCTTCCAGCCTTCCTTTAAATCTGTTGAGATGACAAATCAACAGGGTTTAGACTACCGGTATGCTGTCAACTGTATTAAAAAAATGCTACGTTGGATTGCCTTCCATCTTCCTCTCTCAGTTTGGTCTCCCAGGTCTGCAAGGCCTTCCATCAATAAGGAACAGTGTCCTGAGATACAGATAAAGCTCCTATAAAATATGAGAGCTATGTCTGTATTACAAAGAAGAAGAAAAAAAAAAAGTCTACAACAAGATCAAGGTGAAATATAACCTACTCTTTAGACACATCTGTGGAGGCTACTTTTTGTGCAATGGGCTCCTCACCATTAATTCATCATTCATCTGTATGCTAGCAAATCTACAAGAAGAAGCCAGAGAGAATGTGACATAAAACCCCTAAAACTTACATAAAAGCAGGTTATGCTTTCATATTTGCTAAAGAATTCTGAAACAATAAAATACATTTAAAAATTATGAATCCTTGCACATGAGCTTTTGACACTGATTGACTGCTGTGTTTGTTCTTCTGAGAACACCAGACTCTCCCCATATACTGCAGAAGCTGGAGGTGCTTGCTGCTTACAAATTAGTTGTCAAAGTATATTATTAATAAACTCCTCAACTTTGGAGCTCATTGATTCTTAAGGTAATTAATACCACCTTTTCTCACCTATTTAATTTCCATTTCCCCCCGTTCTTTCTTCCCATTAGCTTAGCAAGGCTCTTTCCTCTTAAAACATGCCTGTTTACAACAAGAAGGGAAACAGTCTGGCATTCCTCCATGTAGGGAA